ATTTAAGTGAAACTTGGTACACATGGGTATTTTTCAATGAAGAACTCGAATTTTTAGTCGAATTCTGAAAATTCGAAAATCCAAGATGGCGGACGCCACCTAAAATGCTATCTCAGCACCTACTCAGCCGATTGCAGTGAAACTGGGTACCCGAGGGTATTTTTGAATGGGAAACTTGAATTTTTAGTCGAATTTTGAAAATTCGAAAATCCAAGATGGATTGGCGGACGTGGCCTAAAATGCTATCTCAGCACCTAATCAGTCGATTAAAGTGAAACTCGGTACCCGGGGGTATTTTTCAATGGGGAACTTGCATTTTTAGTCAAATTTTGAAAATTCGAAAATCCAAGATGGCGGAAATGGCCTAAAATGCTATCTCAGCGCCTAATCAATCGATTTACGCGAAACTTGATACCCCCATCAACTTATCGCTATGTTACCCGCCTAGATCATCATCCGAATCCTCTCGCTTTATCTCACTTGGACAACTATCAAACTATTCGCCGATTGCGAAGCACGCACTTCCTGGATTTGTATCATCAATATGACCCCGATGGCCAACAATAATAAATTCTCAGAATAGAGAATCCTGTTTACCCTTCCAGAGGTCCTTGCCATACGTCACTACATCAAGCTACTACAACACTAATCGTGCCAAACACTCACCAAGTGAATTGCCGATTATTCCTACTCAAAAAAAAAAAAAAAAAAATATCATGAGTTCTCCTTTTTTGTCACTATTTACAGGTGAGTTATTTTTTAGGTCAATTGTTCAGTACCTTAGGATCATGTGAAAATCAGTAACGGTATACATTATTACATATTAATTCAGAACAAACTTCGGCAGTTTATCGCTAGAACTTGGATGTAGCAAGTCAATTGTTATTTCTTGATATTTCACCCTTCAATATTTCACTGAAGACACCAAAATGATAGTATCAATCATTGACGATAATAAAAACTTATCAGTGACAATACTGATGAGATGAGGAGACCAATATGATTAAGATTGAGGCAAGGGAGGTAGATGTAGGATCCTAGTTCGATTACCACACTTATCAATACATTTTTCTGCTTAGTATTACAATACAAATACTCTGGATTTTAAAGTAACACAAAGTGTAAAACGTGAGAAAGTTCCGAATGATTTTAAGATGTTTGTTGAAGAGTTAGGAATGAGATAAGTGCCCTTGGAGAACATCCATGGTTTGAGCGTAAGACTGCCGGAGTGTGTTCTGAATTAACATGTAATGATGTATACCGTTACGGCTTTTCACATGATCCCAAGGTACTAAACAATTGATCTACAAATGTAACTCACCTTTAAATGGTGACAAAAAAGTAAAAACTCAGGAAAATGGCTAATGCAAATTAAATATTGAGCTAACCTTAATTCTGTTATCACCATGACAGATGTGAACAATCACCCATTGACTACAGTTTTCCCTAAAAATAGGGTTTATTCCGTCGGTTCTTATTTATATAATGAAGGTTTTAACCATTTAAACGTCGAAGGAATCCATTTCTGAATTCCATTTTGGTCATCCATTTCCATTTTATCATCGGTTGATTCGATATTTGCATTATTTGAAGAGCGGCTGCCAATTTCTTATGGGAAATTACATTATACGTGATGAAAAGACCAGGTTTGTTATGAACTGTGACGTAGCGAGCGGACCGGATCCGCTCCCGCGTAAAAGTGACCGTTTTGGAAATTCGAATTTTGGGGCGATTTTAAGTTGTTTTCTTGGGGGATTTCCGGTGGTCAAAAAACTCCGGGGAAAGCCCGGTGACATCAGGAGCCATAGTTCTTTCGATACAAGCAAATAAATAAAAATTATGCAACAGACCCATTCGCGACCGCCGCGGGTCAGGGAATCAGTCCCGCTGAGGATGCCGGAGATGCGAGCCGGCGAAACGTGTCCGCCAGTAAAAATATTACGTACAAGTGAGTTTTTAAGTATTTTATCGATTAATTTTTTGTGCGGGTCTCCAAAAGTTTCAGTGACCTAATCTTTTTTTTCTTCTTTTCAAAATACATACTTACATGCAGCCTCACAAATAAGGAAATTATACAATTAAAGTCTGTACTTACTGACGTTCATGCATGATTTGTAGAATGTCTTTGCTTTTATAGTTGCTGAGCTGTCTTTATTATTTATTGGCTCTTCAAGAACACCTGCAAATTCAAAATGACTTTTCAGTAAAATTTTAATTCAGTAAATATTAAAATTTAGCCAAAAGCGTTCCTATCATTAGTTAAAGAGACGCAACCTAAAAGGCAATGTAAAGCCGAACAGATTGCTTTCGTATGAAGTAGTACATTTCATTTCAGTTAGTCATACATTCATAAGCATAACACATTTTTAACAGGAGGTACATTTTCCCAAAAAAGCTGCTTATACTTAAATTGATACTTTATCAGAAATACAATTGCTGATATCAATGCCATTTACTACAATTTTTATCAACCTACACTTGTTACTTTATATCCTTTTCAGTGTTATTTAAAAACACCCGAGCGCTCGGGCCGCACAACCTCACACCTTTCCTTACACACACCAACGTCCAAGCACACGCACACACACATAATGATGCATGACGAGAATGGAGCTCTCGCATGTGCCAGGAATTAGTGATTTAAGTACAGATTCCTGCGCGAGAGAACGGTGGTGCCGCTGATTATCTTTGAATCAACCCCAAAGCTCAATAAAAGCTCTAAAAGTTCAGGCTGTAATGGAGGGGATATCCCACATACTGATATCAAAACTGCACTCGAATGCGATATTTTCTCTCTAAGAAAACCACGCCCTTATTACGTTGAATTTCTTCGTTCAAATTGGTAAGTGAGTGCTTTAGTTTCCTGACAACAGAATTGCGATCTCAACTTTGGAGGAAAATGACGAGTAGCTGAAAAAATGGAACCAATTTATGCGATATATCGCATGCCGTTCTGAACAAAATATGGCGTCCATCGAATCACCTTAATCCCGACTTCCCGCTGAGAAGCCCAAACGTTTCTTGCCTAGTTTTATTAAGTACCTTTGGTTACGATATGACCTCCCCTCAGCCAACTCATTATTTCCTTTGTTCAGAAAATATAACTTCTACACAGTTTTTTTTTTTTTTTTTAAATTTCAATAATGTTTTCATACTCATTATTGGACAACTCCGTGACCAGGATTAGATGGTTAAGAAAGAGCAATATTTATTACAGGGTGGGGAACCGTGAACTTTGAGAATCGGCCATACAATACATCCTAAATTGCCATGGGATTCATTCCCCATTTGGTGTCCCATATCTACGGCCGTGTAATCTGAACGGGAAAAACCCCGAATAAAAGCGAGACTAGAAATTAAAATGAAACAGTTGCCTGAGGCACCTGCTAAAGCCATAAGTTCCAGTTACCCCCAAGCCGGAGGTGATTAAAGTTGGCTCATAGTAGAGGTCAAATCCGAAGGAAGTACCTTTCAATATAACTTGAAGTTGATCGGCAAGAACTTCGAATGTGCTGATGCTACTTTTATCCTCGGGTATGACATGTCGTTTGTTCCACGTCCCGCAGGCAAACTGAAAAAAATCCGAACAAGGATCTACGCTTCGGTCCATTCCAGATATTAAATGTGAAGCTAAAAAATTCAAATAATGTTATTATTTTAGCGCTCCACAAAAGGAATAAAGGGAAGCATGAGAGGAATGCAAGGTCGATAGACCTAGGTCAGTCCGTTAGAAGAGTCGAGTGTGATAATCTCTGCAAAACGGGGGTAAAGGATGTCCGCGTTGCCAACAGAGTCCCCCGATTTACTTGTCCCTCTCTGCTATTCTCCCGAACCGATTACGTTGGTCTTATGTAGATCGGAGAGGACGAACTATGCAACGGGGCAGTGCAAATCGGGGAAACGTTTGGAAAGTAGTGGAACAACCAATCGCGGGAATCCGTCGCCATATGGTGCTAACGGACTGACCAAGGTCTATAAACCTTGAGAGGAATGTATGGAGTGATACGTCTTACACATATAAAATCTAGGTTGCACATCAATTATTGATGCTAGTTGCATAAAGTATAAACTAACAATAAAAGCACTAAAAACGTTAATGATATTTCAAAAGTTGTACCAAATGGAGTTTTCCAAACCGTCTGATGGCGGTTCAAGTAGTATTCTTCAATGGAACATAGGTTGCGACAAATTGAAATAAAATTGCTTGAATGAATGTTCCGACTCACAATCCGTTCCAACAGAATTAAAACTTTCAGTCAACGTTTTGTAAATTAGTACCTTTTCGACGAACTAAGCAGAGGACTAATTGCAACTGGTGGCCGCAATTAATTTGGACGAATCTGGAAATTTCTCGATGTTGCTAGGACTCTAAAACATGATTCCAGCCGCTTTCAATGTCATGGACTTATCGCTACCTGCTATAAGATCACGATCGATAAAATTCGGCGAAAAGGAATTTAATGACAATATACTGCCGTCCACAGCAAGAACGTCGCAATTCCGTTTCATAATTTGCAATTATCTATCACAAAAAAAAGTTGTACTACATGAAAACCTGATCACCCTCGTTAACCTTCTTTTTTTTTTTTTTTTTTTTTTTTTTTTTTTTTTTTTACTGTTTGAAGCTTTTGACATTGAAAATTTTTGTGTATATACCCCTAACCTTGAGGAATGGTGTTTGACCTTGCAGTGCTTTCTCCTTAACAAGTTGCATCCACCACAGTTAAGAGCCCTATCTTTCCTACCTGTACGGTCCGCGGGTAGAAAGTTACCTGGACCAATCATATTTGATAGGCATTCCCCTATCCGCGACCCTGGGGGACATGCTCTCTAAAGATGGCAAGCCTCTCCGAAAGCACGCTTAAACTCTTCCTATTATGGAGCTGACTTCAAATTAAATACTTATGGCTCTTCTCTCACATTCTGCGCAAAATATTAAGTGTTATATATGCTCTACCCAGTATGAACGGAGTCATAAAAATTACTAATTACTAGGACGAAATAAACAAATAAAATTTGCATTTTCAGTATAAAATAAGCCATATCCGTCCTCTCTCAATTGCTCACTTGACTTTAAGTACGGCGCGGCTCGGCGCAGCCCCACATAGCACAGAATCTTATGTCAATACTGATACATATTGTTGGATGTTGACATGATATCATCAACACTAATGCAGTATGATATTAAGATTGTCGGTTAAAAGGTATACCGCGTCAGCATGAATATAACACTGATACCCTCAATATATCAAACAACAGTATTGAGTCAATGCTGACGAGGTAAAAAAAAATAACACGAAAAGAAATTAACACGAAAAAATGAAAAAAAAAATATAGGAAGAAAAAGAAGCCTAAGAAAACACGGTGTTAATCAAAGTTATGATGAAAGTCGAGACGCGCACTGATGCTATGCATGCTATAACAGCCTTAGCAGGCGTGATTTTAACCCGGAACACCATCAGTTCCTTGTGGCTCAATGGCAGAATACTGGGCTAGGAATTCCGCGGTTCGGGTTCAAATCCACCTGAGGGCGTCCGGGTATTTTACGCTACTAAACGTCGCAGGACATCAAGTAAGTGGTTTATAATATTCAATACTTGTATACTTGTGTAATTCATGTTTCAAATGTAATACATGTGTAGTACTATGAAAATGACGGTCATCGTCTGAACTTTCATATCTACTTGACAGAGTGCGCTGAGTGTACAGACGTGTCAGTGTTAAGGTAGTAACGCATACATATTGTCGGTGTCCTGCAGTGTTTCTGATGACCTTGTCATAACCCTGATTTCCATATGAAATCAACCTTTTCGGCCAATACTGTAACAATATTTTGACAGCTCCAAATCAGTAACTAATAAATACTGGCATAGTCTTGATATAATATTAAATCAGGATACATCAGCATTTTATAAATACTGACACTACTGACGTGTCAGTACTATTGTAGTATTATATCAATATTCTGTGCTATGTGGGGCGGCGAAGGTGGCAGTCGGTGACTCCACGGACGCGAATGTCACGGCCCTTTCGCTCCATCCGGAAAAAAGTACGTAGGTATCCTACTCCCCTCATTCTTGACGGATATTACTCTGCCTCTCGTGAATATATACGATTTTTTCTGTGCGGTTCCGTACCTCTATTCCAAGTACCGATAATTGGACCGCGTTAAACAGAAAGGAACCAAGCCACATCAGCTATTGCCAAATTTAACTGGGCAATTTAATTTTTTACATGAAAACGGTCGTGTGGATTTTTGTGCAAATTTCAGTGAATTTTCTCCATAATACAAAGCAAATTCCTTAAAATTTTCATAGGAATCCGCACAAACGTACTCTCGTAAAAAATAAAATTTCCCTGTTAAATTCGGCAATAGCTGATGTGGCTTGGTTCCGTTTGTTTAACGCGGTCCAATTCGACTACAAATTCCGCTTCACCGGAACATCTCACGATGCAATCACTTTACGAAGTAGAACTGAAAAACGCCCGCAGAGTTTGAAATGGGAGGGCGTAAAGAGCACGTGAAGGCGTTACACTATAAGTATAATGGCGGCGGGGTGGTTATCTGTATTGATTCGGATACCATGTTGATTTCCTTGGAGATGCGCGTAAAAGCAGAAGCCTAAAATATGCAACTTCGAATTCGTTTTTTGAGGCGGAATATCTTTCAAAAGAAACCGAGAAACTCCTGAAAACTGAAGGCACTCTCGATATTTCAGAACAGAGGAATCTAAAACTGACTGTACGAGGTCTTTGGCGACCGAGTAGGATTTCAAATGAATATCAAAATTGCCGCAGGATAGGAGCCCCGAGATCCCCGTCTTCAGGGGAAGGCCCGTGGAACCCATTAAAGAGAGGCCCAGTCACATGAAAATGTTGAACCAGATCATCCTGAATGTACTCATAAAATTTAAATAATTTATGTGAGAGTTACCTGTTTTCACACATTCAGATGACAAGCATATACTACTAAACTTTTGATCTGCAACAAACAAACAAACAAGAAAAACATAATTATTTTTTGACAGATTTAGATGAACATTTCAATGGAAATTGATGATGTAATACCATTTCTTATATTTTACGAAAACATCAAAAAAGTTGAGTTCAACCACATAATGCACGGATAAGTAAACCACGAACCGTTTTCTAGGGTTACTAAAATTACAATCATAAAAATGTCCAAAAAGAGATATTACGACTGTGCACATGCAGTAACTGTACGTAGGGCTATAAGGTCAATGATAATGCCTCGCAATTAGGAGACAGAAAATTTTTAACAGCGTTTAAAGTTAAACTTGGAACGGCAATTAAGTACAAGCCACATACCGACGGTGAAACTACCAAACCACGTACCTCGGTTTGCGACGTGGTAGACTGCCTATCATGCTTTATCTTTTAAATGGAAAACCTTTCAACGTCAACTTTTCAAAACTTCCCTGTGTTTTCCTCTTAATGCGAAGAAAACTTTTTAACAATTCCAAGAAAGAAATTAATTTATGCTCCTTCAAAAAAGAGAATGGGAGCGGAGATTTATAAACACCGCAAACGAGATACGTCCCAAATAACAATTTCAACGTTGACAGCAACGTAGACTTCCACGTTTCTCGTGAAACCTTCCACGTGGAAAGCAACGTGTACCGGAACGTGTAATTCTACGTGGATGTCCATGTATTAAGTACCGTTTCCGGAACGTTCCCGTGTAAACGTTGTCAGTGACAACGTTTACAGGAACGTTTCAGTGTCCACGTCGCAGGAACGTTGCAGTGTTCACATTGCAGGGACGTGGCAATGACTACATTGCACGAACGTGCAGTAACATTAGAATCCGTTTTATTTGCAAAACATAGTGTGGCATTCATTTTTGGGCTTTTCACAGTTTGTGCGTCTCTTTCCCTCCTAACGTGTTTACGATTAGAATAGAGCCGTATGCAAAAACGACATTTTTCGCCCCCCCCCCCACTAAAACTTATTCAAACTTCGTCTATAAGTTACTAATACTAGAGCGCTTCTTTCCCCAAATTATCAGACCACCAAAAAATTTTGGGGGGGCGCTAGGGGGGGGGGTGGAAGTCAAAACCTGTGAACCTCGATATCTTTCAAACGAAACAAGATATTGAGGCCCGGTTCAGACGAAAAATCGTCTAAAATTGCATACTTTGAGATTCTAAAGGTCAAAATCCCAAAATTAAATTTTTAAATTAACTTATGTGCTTTTTTTCATTTTTTGAGAAAAAACAATTCCTTTTAAACAGATTAAACTGAAATTTCACATTTTTTGATTTGAACCAAAACCAGTTTTTTATATTGCTCGTCTTTTTCCGCATCCAACGAGTGGTCGTATAAGCTGGGGAACCGAACGGTTCCGGAGTTATGATCGATTGAAGTTTCCGCTCAACGCGCGCCGACCGATTTTCGCGCGCAAAAAAGTCGGATTTGACTGTTATTAAATCAGATCGAATGTTCAAACTGAGCAAAATGCATTATTAGGGACTCTTGAGGGTAGCTGAGTTCAGAAATTACAGATAATTTCAAAAAATTCGCATTTTCAAAATTACAGCTCCCCCCAGGACGCGCGCTTCGCGCGCGTTTTAGTGTATTTTTTTTTTAGTTTGAGTGTCCGGCCTCAGTTGTTCTGTCTTTTAAGTGACCCGCGCGTCCACAGCGGGAAGAGTGTATTTTCCGAAGGGAGGGGCGGAAACGGGGAGTTATCAATCCTCGGAGGTTGGATTTACGTTTACACTGTTGGGCATTAGGGTGGTTCTTATTTTTCGACTTTTCGAAAATCAAAGGTCCGACCCCCCTAAAAGTTGTCATTTGGTGTAAAAAGATCCTACAAAAAATTTCAGCCCGATCGGATCATCCTAAGTGGTGCCGCCGGGGCCGACAAGTCTCCAAGCGGGAACTTCAAATTCCGGACAATTGCGTTTTTTCGTCATTTCGCGAATTTTTTTCTCCCCTTTAAAATGTAGCTACGGCTTTAAAACTTTTTGAGGCAACACACTCATTAACGTACTTTATGAGAAAAATAAAACAATTTACCTCACCACTTTGAAAATGCCCCCTTTCTCCCCTCAAAGTGGCCACATCGTGCGATTTCGCCGATTTTTCCTAACATTCTGCCCAAACGGTGTGCCTTTCTTCTACCGTTAAAATGTCGCTACGGCTTTGAAACTTTTTGATGTAACACACTTTTTAGAGTACTTTACAAGAAAAATATCAAAACTTACCCCACCACTTCAAAAATGCCCCCTTCCCCCCCTCAAAGTGGACACATCGTGCGATTTCGCCGATTTTTCCCAACATTCTCCCCGCACGGTTTGCATGAACGAATTTAAATTTGTTGACAAATCAAAAGCAATGACGCTTCAGATTCATGAAGTAGAGTGTCTGCCGAGTTATTTAAGCCAAGAAGAAAAACAATCTGTCGAGCTCCTGGAAAATAAAGTCGACTTAGAAGTATTTTATGGCTAAAAGGGGCAATCTACCGATGGTAAGTTCCGTTATATTACTGAAAATAAATTTCCTGGATAGTTACAATGCCTAGGTTTCTTGAATATGGTTTCTTTAAGTACACGAACACTAAAACCACAGATTTTAGCAACACGGTAAATTTTGAAGACCTGGAAATACTCATTGGAACCGAAAATTTCTCAAATTTTCCATGAAGCTCTCCAAAAGTGGCGTGCTTTCTGGACCGTCGATTCGGCCATCGAACCGAGTTTGAAATGGAAGCTTATAAAGACCTGAGGCTTAAAGAAAAAGATCGATTTGAGCGTAAGAACGGTTTCCAAGTCTCGAGGGGGGGGGGGGGGAGCAAATCCGAGCTATTATTCGCCGTTTTCTAGTTTAATAATTGATGTTGCCGCGGGCTTCTAGTCGTTCTTCACACATGTTCAGCCTATCGAAACTGCACAATTTTTTGACGTAACATTCGATTTTCATGTCAAGGATTCGATACATCGATGCACTTTATCGATTTTTCCCGATTTTACAAGGG